ATGTAGATGCCACTGATGCTTCTTGTATTCTTTTTTCCTTGTAAAATATACACTCTTTTTCTACAACAAAATGGTGGTTGTTCCTAAGTCAGAGTGTTTAGCGGGAAGACTGCAGAAACAAAAGGGTATGTTCCTCCTATAGTCATCATGATGGTATGTTTTAAGTGAGTTTACAATGCGAAACTGCCACCCGCTCTGAGTACTTCTTAATAAGGCTGGCCTGCAAGTTTGTTGCATAATTATTTTTAACAATGGTAGATTTATTACCTAGAAATACATAGGAATATATAACTTATATATAAAGTACTTTTAGAGTGCTTTTAAAATCTTATCCCAAAATTGTTTTTTGCTAATTTAAAATTTTATCTTTCATTTACGTTTTTTTCTTTAAGGTGTGTTTTGGCTTGGTTTTGCATCACCGAGTTAAAAACCAAACCAAACTGTGAAGCACACTGGAATTCCATGGCACATATTGGGACCGGGGGGGGGGGGGGGGGGGGGCTTCCAGGGGCTGGCAAGTATGGAAAGGTTGCTCTTCAGGAAAAACATTTGGAAAACCAGGCTATGTCATTCTCAAATGCTGGAGCCATAAATAACATCCTGCCCCGATACACAGACACTCTTGGCACTGCAGGAAACATTTCAGCCATTAGAAGTGCCTCGGCTAGATTAAATGCTGTCGGAGGCATAGCGTTCCCCCACCGCATCTCCTGCTTCCCTATTTGGCTTATCAGCATGAGCAAATGTTTTAATGTGGGGCTCAGTGGCAGCAAACTGTTGCTGGATAACCTCTCTGACCTCTAACTGCAGAGTGCATCAGACCTGCACCGGTATGTTGCAGTGCAGAGGGAAGCTGTTTAGGGCTGCAGCCAGCTGCCCTTTCCTCTTCCAAAATACTCTATTCTTCCCTGATCCCAGTCAGTTAAACTGCAACAGGGGATTGCTGAGCCTGTGCAGTCCTTATCAAGCAGTTTTGCCCCTTGTGGCCTTTTCCCCCTGGGAAAAAAAGATAATTGGGTTGTACTTTTGCAAACCTCGGGGTTTTCTGGAGGCTTATTACAGCGCTTGTGATAGCATTATAACTCCATACTGCAAAAATTAACATTATAGCATTGTAGGCTTACAGTATTTTTTTAATGAAAGGGAAGTCTAATATAATGCTATGATCTTTATTTGTGCATTATGGCGTTATACGGCTAGAACACGAAACATAATCACTGCCCTGCTTCAGGGATGTACATTTCCATTCCTTTGGGCTTTTTAGACCTGTTGCTCTAGCAGTCTTCGAAACGGAACCTCAGCCTTATTAAAAGTGTGATCCTATTCCTGACATTGTCCAGGGGACCATAGGGTCCCAGCTCTGAGATCCTGCAACCTCAGTACTGGGTCGCCAAAGGCCAACCCCGCCCCCTGCTTCCCCCACAGCAGGTGTGTGAAGAACAATGCTGGCTGTCTCTCTGAAGTCAGAAACTGGCCTGAATAGGAGGAAAGGGGGCCTGCCAGAGACTGGGGCGGGGGGGGGGGGCGGCTAGAGCTGGTGGTGTATGCAGGCAGTGCTCCAGTCTGCTTCCCCCTTCCCATGCTGTTTCGTTGAGACAGCTGGAAAAGGCCATCTATATGCAGGCCATGAGGAGGGGGTTGCTGGTGGTGGTGGAGATCAATACTGCCACACCTTGCTCCATGCATTGGATGTACAGAGGTCTCCAAGTTTTGGAGGCTCACATGCACCAAGGGTGGTAGGTATTAGATTGCTCCCTAAATAAAGATGCAGCCATCCTGGTGATCCTCAGGAGACTATGAGGATTGGCACAGGCACAGGATACGATGCTCAGCCACTCATGCTGCCCAATCTACACAGAGGCATGTTAGACCCAGCCTTGACCTGAGGCAGAAATTTTGGCAGGACCCAATGTATGAAAGCGATGAAAGATCATCTCCAAGTTCAAAACTGGGCACTGCAGGGAGCTGTCTCTGCCCTGCCAACCCTTGTTGCCTCAGTCACATGTTGTTGTTAAAGAAAAATACACGTGTAACGTGATGCTGTTATGTTCCGAGCCCCATTTAGGTGTTCTGGATTTCTACAGAATCGCAAGGGCAAGGAACACTCCAGTCCTGCCTCCCTCCTGGTGTGTTTCTGCCTCTCCTAACAAGAGAGTGCCTCTATCTATGGAATGGCCCCAGTGCCCACAGGCACCCATTCCATAATCCACATCACCACCTGTAGGTTGTTGTATCATCCAAAACTGGCAAGTTTGGGTTGTTGGTATGGTTAACAAATGACCCATGGGCTGTTTTAGTGTTGTGCATTTGTTAATCATGCCAACAACCATGTTAGGGTTGGACAACATGACCATCTACGAGTATGGATAGTGTTATGGAACAGGTGGTGCCCGGCATGCAAGGGTTATTTGAACTACCAGGGCTGAAAACTATAATGCAAACCAGGTCAGACAGCGGCAAACCAGGGCCTGGCTTGGGGCAGAAGATCCACAGAATTTGGGGAGTTAAAACGCAATGGGAGCAGCTGGACATGGCTGCAATGGCAGCTTCTTTCCAACTCCGTCACAAAACTATTGCTCCTTTGTAAGAAACACCCACCAGTGAAAATCTAAAAAAAAAAAATTGTGAATGAAAGATGGGTGATGCATTCAATTGAGACTTACAAGAAAAAGTTTCAAGCCATCAGGACCACTTGCAGGTCTGCTCCTGTTCAAGGTTTCAGGCAGCCATGCCTACTTCTAGGAGACAGTTTTCCACCTTGCTGTTTTTCCTTGCCCGCTAACACACAGTATTTGCAGTCCTCATAGGGCTGGTTCCCCTTTAGGTGTTTTGTGCTTCTCCAAATGTGGGGTGCCCTCACCCACATGGGGATGCACATTCTTCAGCGTGTTCCTCAGTAGCCTCACTTTGGGCCCCGATTCTTTCAGCACTTACTGAGTTCATGAGCAAACAGAGTGATGATAGCTTGCAAAGAATGGTGTACAGAATCAGTGTTACAATTAGGGCATCTTAGCATTCCTATCCTCATTGGGACTGCTTAATTACTCATTTACAGATTTTTTTTTCAAAGTAAGTTTTATTATTTTTCTACCAACTAACAAAAGAAACTAAAAACCATCAATCATCAGAAAGATCAGACCTACTGGGTCAGCCCCTGTGCTTTTTTTTTTTTTTTAATAGTAATCCGTAAACATATTTGAATCTATGCATAGTCCCATTTCTCTAGCCAATTATAAAAAGAGTTCCAAGTTTGATAGAAGTATGTATCCTCTTTCTTCCTCAGAGACAATTTACAGAATTTGAATCATGCTCCATGTGTGGGAGGACTAGCCTGGCCTACCCATTCATCTTTACAAAAGGCCTGCATGAGTGTGGGAGTGAGGCTGGCAATCACTTGCTGCATAGGGAAATTCTGATTACAGTTCAATATCCAGGTTCTCCACTGTATATGGAAGTTAGTTAGCACATAGAATGAAACAGAAACCTACCATTCTGGGTTAACCAGATTTAAGAAGGAAATACCTCAGACACTGGCAGCTGGAAGAATCAAGGGCAGAACCAGGTATTTTGAATGCACAGAACCAAGAGAAACAACCTTCAAGTTGTCAGAGAGCTGTCTGTCTGTCCATCCATCCATCCGTTTAAGACCCAGTTTCCAACATTCCCCATCATGCCCGAAAGTGACCAAGATACAGAAACTAGGATGGGGCAATGCCAGTGTGATGCACTATTAGTGTTGAGCTGGCATCAAGGAAGTACAGGGCTCACTCCCACTTCAGCATGAAGCGCACTGGGCCAGTCACTTGGATCTCAGCATGATCTTCATCACAGGATTGTTGTAAGGAAAAAATAGAAAGTGCCATTGGCTCCTTGAAGGAAAGCAATAGATAAAACCACTGGACTCACCAAGGGCCCCAGGCAGACTCCTTATTTTTATGCCATCATTTCTTCTGGGCCCTTTTGTCAGCATATGGAGCTGCTCCTCCACTTTGTCCTCACAACATCCCCCAAGTTAGTTGTTCGAGGTTGAGTTGATAAGCCAGTCCATGGTTCTCCAGCAAGAACTTTGGGATCATGCTAGAATGTGAATGTGGGGGGTCCCTCGTCCTGTTCCAACATGCGAACCACTACACAAACTATTTCGTCCCACGTGAGCATCCTGAATATCAGGGGAGGGGAAAATAGAGACATTGTGCTTAATGCGGCAGGAGGTGGGGGAAAAGAGCACAAGGGGAATATTGGGAAAGGGAAGGATTCAAATCATGGCAGACAGAAGGTGGATAAGAAGCTAGAAAGAAAGGCGAGATGAAAGAATAAGAGGATAAAAGAATGGGGCAATGGCAAACCAGAATCATGGTTTATTGTGAAGTGTGAATGGTGCACGTTGCTTTAACTATGAATCGATAAGCCCTAACAACCCAGAGTTCACAGGCCAAGAATAAACCCTGGTTTTGTCATGAATGGTGATTCTTTAATAACCCACAATTCAACCACAAACCATATTAAGGGTTCTAATTATATGTGAAGCAGGCCATAGAGTTTGGGAGAGGCTAGCTAGGCTTATAGATGGTCAAATATGCACATTCATTTCTTTTTACTAAGCCTGTTACTCCTTTCTGCAGCAAACTGGAGCTTATTTCTAAACAAATATGTTTAGCATCAGAACAGCAAAACCAAGCTCCCTCTTATTCCTGTGGTCACGATGATGCCATGATTTAAGCGAAGTTAAAATGCAAAGTGGCACGTGCCCCAAGTATAATTTTTGAAAGGAAAGCACCATGTAGAATAGTACATGTAGTAGTCTAATGGGGTCCCCAGTAAGACAATTACATCTGGAGTCTAAAATTTACTACCTGCATGACTGCCAAAATCCTGCAGTTTCAGCACAACAATGTGTGCGGGGGACTGCAGAGGAAAGGGAAGGGTGGAAAGGCTTCTGTTCACACAGATATTCAATCCCACCCATAATCTCCCTGTCTCCCATGAAGCACAACACAGTATTGTTTTAAAAATTAAAATACTTTATTGCTTTTCTTCTTTGAAAAAATGCACTTAACTTACACTGTCTTTTACTTAATCAGCAGTTTGTACCATTGGGTATTAAAATGTCATGTTTTAAACCCTTTTGTTCAAGTGAGTAACACCATTTTAGAACTCTGATCTGTTACTGACATTCTAAGCGCTGCTGGCCTGTGACCTTGCTTAGCTTTTATATAAATATTGTAAAATTTCTCTAGACTTTGCAGCATTATTAACAAAAGATCTATCAAAGTAGACAATAGGTTTAATATTTTTTTCTTCTTTTTGCTTTAAAAATATACCTAAAACTTTGAGATAATTTTAAAAGAATAACAATTACAATAAGAAAAAATTACAGTGCGTTGACCAAAGGAATATTTCACCGTCCTTAAAGCCAATATTCCCTTTTTGCATGGTGAAAGTGATTTAGCAGTTACTTAGCAACTTTTTTCCCACCTACATACAATAATTTAGTTGAGAGTTACACAAGGCAGGCATTTACTAGTTTTCCACCTGCAATTCACAGCTCTTGTGAATAAAGGGATCACAATAAATATTAAAATACTTTTTTCCGGTAAGGCATCTGAATATTACAAAGTTTTTAATATGAGCCAAAACAGTCTGCTTTTTAAAAATCATTTCTGTACTTTTCAAGTCCTTGCTGAGGTGACGGTAACTATCCAGAGAGTAGGATTTGATGGGATGAGCCCTGCATACGGAGTAATCTTAAGTGGCAGAAGCGAGGAAGAAAGGTATTGGTGGTGGATGTAGATATCGATGCATGTGCCAGAGCCTGTAGCCTTCACTTTAAGAAAAAGTCCTTTTTATACAGTTCATCTTTGCAATGATATATTGTCCTGATAAAAAAAGAAAATACAAATAAAAGAGTTTCCCAAAGGTCATTGTTGCAAGTGTGAGTCTTTCTGCAAGAATGTAAAAAACTTGCCCGGAACATTATAAATAGCTTAGGTATCGATACGCATTCTTCCTAATCAAGTTTTTTAACGTACTTGAAGAAGATTGCTTTCCTCTGTCAGAAGGCCCCCCCACCTCCGCCCCAACACAGTTTCCATCTATTTCATCAAAGGTAAAGAAAAGGCTTCCTGGAAGGGCTGGTGTGTGTGCAGGGGGAGGAGGGAACTCCAGGGCCAACCTCTTACTGCATTCGGTCAGGAGGCAGCTGCGTCGGCTGGTACTGCACAAAAGCTGTGGGAGCTGCTACTGGCGGATTGGTGGCTGAGAGAGGTTGCTGAACAGCACTTGGGTAGCCATATCCCATGAAACTGGTAGCGGGCGAAGCAGCATATGGGTACTGGTCGTAGGCAGCTGTGGTGAAGTGTGAGTAGGCTTGGCTTGCAGGGGTGTAATCTATGTAGGGAGACGTGATGGACTGCACCGGGGTCGGGATGACCATGCTGGGCTGAACAATTGCTTGAGGGTAGATAAAGTGATGTGCCAGCCTGCAAGATAAAGCACAGATAGACGGTCACACTGTTTCCCTGGAGACAGACAAGCAACTCAAATGCAGGCAGCAGGATGGTTGCGTTACAAGAACAAAATTCGTTTTGTTGTTTATTCTTTTTATATCCTTCCCCTTTTCCTTCCAAGGAACACAAAGCAGCTTACATCATTCTCTTTCTCTTGTTCTCAGTCTTATCCTCACAGCAATGCTGCAAGGTTGGATTGAGAGCCTGCGACTGGCCCAAAGTCGCCCAGCTGGCTCCATGGCTGAGCCGGGACTAGAACCGTGGCATAGTTTGGGGGGGGGGTGGATGGGGGAGAAAGGGAAGGATGCAAAACAAGCATGGACGGATTGGAATCAGCAGATGCGGACCCCAAAAGACGCAGAATGGTTAAGCTACATAGTCTTAAGAAACGGTGACTATTACACCCCAATACTGGAGGGTGATGTGCTCCTGTCCAGACTTCCAGCCTCTTCCAGGACACCGCACTCCATCTGCTGCTCCCACCATCCGTCTGCATTCTCCATGCACTGAGCAGGCTCAGGCCTTGTGGGGCTCTTTGCTTCTTCCCCTTGCGCTTTCTCCCCTCTTACTTTTTAAGATATCTTTGCAAATGTTGGGGTTTTCCAGAGTCTGGTCATGCTGCCCTCTTGCACGTGGATGGTACCTTTTTGGCCACGTAAGGTTGGAGTTGCAGGGAATGAACTCACTTCACAATGGACCTCAGACCCCGAGTGGCTCAGGGCTTAATTTGATGCAGCGTGGCTCCTTCCATCATGACTGGAACATGGAGCAAGAGGTGTACTCATCTCCTCCCTGCTGCAATCACTCACAAGAGCAAAATCGCACCCAGGATTCCCCCCTCACTCCCCCACCCCCCATGGCTAGCTTGCAACATGCAGGGGAAGGAATGTTTTGGCAGGACTGCAGCATGGCAGGGAAGAGTCATGCCTCCCCTTCCTCTGGCCCTGATTCAAAATAGGACAGAGAGAAGTCATGGTGCTGCGATTCTATCTTTAAGGTCACATGTGGCTAGGCCCTGAGCCACTCTCGAGTCTGGGACTCACGATGTCATTTGTCCCTGGAATGCTCAAAGGAATATAGCAGGTGAGGACGGAAAGCATTTCTTGCCTAATTATGGGCCAGGTTTCCTGGACGGGCCAACATTTGCCTTTCTTGCAGAGAGGATGTTGAAAATGCCTTCAATAAGATTGATTCTCTTCACCAGTGCAATGTTTCCGGGGCAAGCAAAAGAGAAGTCAGGATTTACTAGAGGATTTCCAGTAAATTTACAGTAGATCGGTAAGGATTTCTGACTCCTTGGGCTTTCACAAAGACCTTTTCCGATCTCCTAAATTAGAGCACTCGGAAGAAACCAGAGTAGTGTGCAAGAGAATTCAAGTGAGCTCTGAAGCTGGTGTTGAAAACAAATTCCTGGGCTGAGCATGTTCTTAGAGGACAGGGAGGACTGATACAACTCGAGGAAATTTAAGTCACCATTTAAATTGACAAGAAAAATGGTCCTGATTGCAAGCTTCCCACTGAAACTTCATTTATATCCTGAACAGTGATGCAATAAGCCATACTCATTAACAACTAAATACAGAATTATTTACAGTCTCATTCTTACAAGCAGATTTTGCATCTGTTAGTCTCATAGTATATATTTTGTCTGCTTTCCTTTTACCGGATTGAGAAAATATTTTTAATATATTCCCTTATACAGGCCTGTCTTATGACCAGCACCCATGGCAGTGTGAGGGCACAACTATATACACATCTCCTCGTTAGTAAGTTCCACTGACTATATATAGTAGAACCTGCCCCCAGGTAAGCGGGTTTAAGATTGCAGCCTATTCATAGGAATTACAGGAACACATAGTCTCTTTTTCCTGCAATGTTATTCCTTTCCGCTTTATTCTGTCTTGACCCAGGCTGCCCTGAGAGAAAACAAAGCAGCAAACGACTAAATGCTCATGACTGACAGGTCAAAATAAGTTTTTATAGTGAGCAGACTGGAAAACTCCATGTACATTTTAAAAAATCCAACTTTGGGGGCTTTTTTAAAACACTGATTTTTTTTTGAATCATAGAATAGTGGAGTTGGAAGGGGCCATGAAAGCCATTGGATCCAACCCCCTGCTGTTGCAGGACACCAAGTTACACCATCCTATTCAGATGGCTATCCAGTTTCTTTTGACTGTCTCTAGTGTGGGAGAGCCCACCACCTCTCTAGGCAGCTGGTTCCACTGTTGTATTGCTCTGACCGTGAAGAAGCTCTTCCTGATGTCCACCCTGAATCTGGGTTTGTCACAACTTGAATTGATTATTCCATGTTCTACACTCTGGCATCAGCAAGAAGAGATCTTGAGCTTTCGCTTTGTGACAGCCTTTGAGGTACTTATAGAGGGATGGTATGTGTCGTCCCCCACCCTGCCCATGGCTCAGTCTTCAAGGCTGAACATGCCCAGTTCTCTCAGTCTCTCCTCACAGGGCAGCGTTTCCCAACCATAGATCCTTTGTGTTGCTCTCCTCTGGACTCTTTGTTTTTCTGCATCTTTCTTAAATCATGGTGGCCAGAACTGGGCACAGCATTCCAGATGAGGCCTGACTAGTGAGGAGTATAGAGGAGCTACTATTTCTTGTGATTTGGAAGGAATACTTCTGTTAATGCATCCCAACATAGCATTTTCCCTTTTGGCGGCTGCATCGCAAAATCTATGCTAATATGTTGCCTTTCAGCATTAACAACTCTGCTTTGCTTGGGTCAATTCTGTATGAATAAGCCTGTGCCTTTGTCCTCATTATTTTAGGGTGCAATCCAGTCTGGATCCCTGTAACCCTCCAAAACTCAGTTTTATGGGCATCCTAAGCAGGGCAGGAGCAGCACAGAGGTGAAGCCCTACAAAATGCTGAGTGTCACACCTCAGAGCAGGAAGAAACGAACCAAGGTAGCACTAGCAGACCTTGCACTGTGGTGGCACCAGGCTCCTCATCCCCTGCAATTGCCATTCAAACACTCCTTTGAACACAGGCAGTGAGAGGGTCCTCCAAATTTGGAGTCTCAGCTTCATCCTTGGAGCTCCTATCAATTCTGGAGAGATTTATCATGATACTGTAAGAAACAAAATAATCTCTGCCATGTGAGTTGGTAGCTCTGGCTGAGCTCGCCACACCACAACAGTTATTGTCAAAAGGTTGTCTTCTGTGTACTTTAACATGGCTGCAAGGCAATTTCAAGCACACTCTCAGTACAGAATCTCTTCTGCTAGGTACTGACCAGTTTCTCCCAGCTAAAGAAAGGGCAAGACCTTTCTAAATTTAATTTAACATTCCAGTCTGACTTCACGTTTAAACCTGTATTGCCACAATACTGAAATCTTTTTGTTTTGTTTTTCATTTGGCAATGACTAGGGGACATTTGTTGGTGAAGCACAAATGCTTGTGCTGTTTACTCTTCTCTTCTTCCACTCCCTTTTCATATTTCCCTGAGGTTACTATGCAAACAGCCTCCCTGTTCCCTTTACAGGCTGAGACTTGTACTCGTTTCAGCTGAAGATGAATTATTCTGGGACCCTGGACAAAACCAGGGAGTGATCAGCTGACAGCAGCTAGCCACTTAACTTCATATTAATATGCCTTTGTCAAGGAAAAGGAACCCACAAACATTCTACAGGAGGTGAAAATATGCTCCAGTTTGACAGATGGTTCTGGTGTGTGGTCAAACAAAACACATCCTCTGGAGTCGTTAGACTGGGCAATCAGTTAGGGTCTGCTCCATTCTTCTCCTTCCTGGGTGGACCCACTCACATATCAAAGTGCAGCACATGATAAAAGCTCTGCAAGATCAAGTTCGAGTGCCTATATTAGTGCTGAATGTTTACTCAAATTACTTGGATAGATTCATGTATCAAAATGCTTTTTACTCCATTAAGAAAGGTACGCTGATTAAATTGGGCAGCAGAAATGTCAAAAATACACTAGCCTTCCCCAATCCAGTGACCTCTGGATGGGTTGGACATCAACTCCTATTGCCCCTAGTCAGTACACCTCAATCTAGTTTGTCTCTTCCCAAGAACCTGCTGTTGATGTGAGCAACAGCCAGAAATCAGGAATATTTTTTTCAGTTAGAAATACGAAATGCTGCCTTCCACCAAGGCAGGAGTCCATCTAGCTCAGTATGGTCAACACTGGCCAGCTTCAGTGGCTCTAAAGGTTTCAGGCTGGAATTCTGCCAGCCATACCTGAGGATGCTGGGAATTGAATGTAGGATTTTCTGCATACAAAACAGGTGCTCCACCATGGAGCAATGGCCCTTCAATTAGATCTTCTGGTTTTGCCCCATATCTTGAGTTATCTGGCATCAACCTCATACATTCTGGTACAGAGAGGAACCAGGAATGAGCAGAACTCTAGATAAGATCTCTAGTGGTTTGCAAGAAAGTCAAACAATAAAGCAGTCTCACAACCATAAATCAGGGTTAGGTAGAATGTAGTTAGGTAGAATGTAGATCAGGATCTACTGGGCGGTTTGCAGAAGATCTCCAAGGGCTTCGAACTGTAGTCAGAGCAGAGGGGGGAACTCCACTCTGGCTAGCCTTCTGCTAATCATTTCTCAGCCCCAGTACCTAGTCTTTAAAAGAGGAACACTATTTGCTTTTAACGAAGTTCAGGTCTGCTGGCCATTTTTAGAGTGATGTGCTAGAATTTCTGATCTACAGTAGCTCACATGTTGATCGGCATAGATCTCAAGTTAGGGTTCAGGCTGTGGAATATATAATTCACTCTGTCCTTTAAACCACCGTTTTGAATCTGGCTTTGGTTTATATTTGTTGGCGTGTTATTAAAAAAGTAAAATGGAACCTGCATGCCTCAAGTTTGCACACCCCTGTCCTAAATTATACTGCTAAATGAAGAAAGCTCCATGAAAGCAGTAATGCAATTTTCTGTGAAGAGGGTGTGAGCTTCATTCATTTCTGGGCTCAAAATTCTTGAATTCTAACAGCCTAGTCATATACATATCATCTCCAAAGTATGTTTCTTCAAATTGGATAGCGCTTACACTCAGGTAAGCAGACAAAGGATTGCAACTTAAGTGTGTGGGGTTTTTGCACCAGGTTCCAGGTTTGTGGATCTGGAGGTTCTAGGAAAAATGGAGTAAATCCTTCAAGCCAGGATTGAAGCCCTCTCAGTCCTGCTCTAGAACTCTTAACCAGAGGCAATTTTAGGGGACAGCCCGCTTGCACACTACCCTTCTTCCGTCAATATGAATCACAGGTTAATGAAGTACACACAATATGTGTACAATGTGTATAATTCACAGTATGTTTTGATTTAAAGATTATGAGAAGCTTTGAAACAGAAGAGTAATCCCCACAAAACAAACAAGCAAACAAAAACACCCAACAAGCAAATCAGAAGTTTTATGAAAACTGGAGAATATAGTAGCAACTTACTTTTCATTCAACATATTCCTAATAAACAAACAAACAAAACACCAGATTAAGATTTTGATTACTTTATCAACTAAAGAAAACACACAGCAATGGCAATGTGATGAAGTTACCTCCTGGCTGGATTTTTCTATTTATAGATGATTCATGGTGTTGTTTTAAGATGATTTACTTTTTCTAAAGTGGAAATCAGGCTTGTAAAACTTGCATCTGTTTTGTTTGACACCAGTTAAAGGTAAAATGAAACCAATGCAACTGCACCAAGTAAAAAGTACTGGATTTTTTCCCAATATTGACTTTTAAGAATACATTACTAATATCTTTTCCCTGCTCTGCCATTCTATTTAACATATAACCAGAACAGAAAGAAGACCCAGATAATGCCAGAAGAAAACTTCATCTGAAATGTGATTATAAAAACATCAATCAAGTGATCCTCGAGCTATCAACACATGTCGAATTCACCCCATGAATGGCAACTTACAAGGTACTTTATGACATTGTGATTAATCACTGGCTGAAATCATAAACACTCGAGCACACGCCAAAGAAGAGGGTCAAACCTAAAATTAGAATCACTGATGCTGGTTGCAGGGATTCATGTCAGGTTTCACTCGGCACCCTCAGCCCAAGACAGATGAGGTGTTTCACAATCAGGATCATGATGCTATCCTAGCTAAGTGGCACAATGCTACAACCAAAATTAACAAGACGCAAAACAAGACACACAAGATTATATATAAATTTGGAAGGCAGAGGTAGATATAACAAACTAGCAAAATGCATCTGGTTTCAACTTGTGATCAGTTAAAAGGTACATACATTTTAACACAGCTACTCCCAGGATAGTGCCTTCCAGATGTTCTGGACTTCTAATCAGACGCAGACAACATATCTAATGGTCAGAGATTTGGGGGGTGGAAGTCCAAACCTGGAGCCCAGGCTGGGGAAGGCTGCTTTTGCTCATGCTTTAGATGGCCCTGTGCATAATGCTGAAAGATGCTAAAGCGAATGAAGGAAATGCATGCGCCGGCTCGCATTCTCTCTATTTATACAGACTGGCTCCAACAGAAAGCTCTGTGTGTACACCATGCATCTCCTAGTGGAACATGACTGTGGGTATCCTGGCCTGGATTATTTCTTATATTTCAACCCTGACAGAAATGTAAGGTGGCTTACATAATCCCTCTGTTCTCCACTTTATCCTCACTGCAAACCTGCCAGGTTCGTTGGGCTGAGAGTCAGTGACTGGCCCAAAATCACCCAGTGAGGTTTATGACCAGGGTCTCCCAGATCCCATCTCAGCTCTTGTAATCACTGTACCACACTGGACCTTAAGAATCCATAATGGAGTCTTCAGATTTCATTTCCCTCTAAAGTCAGTGCTGACAATCCCAGTTCCTTCACCACCATGTGCACATGTGTCTGCTAGTAACTCGGGATAACGCTTCATGCCTCCGATAGAGCAGACTGCACTCTACAAAAGCTTGTGCCTTAATCAATTGGTTGGCATTTAAGGGGCCACAAGACCTGCTCTGGCCTGGTCAAAATACCAGCATGATTTTTCCTTCAAAATTCTCACCGTATGGTAAATGTCCTCCAACCTGTTGAGACTGCACTTTTGTGGCTTCTTGGAAATAGTTCTTGTGAACACCAAATTGGAGGTGCATTTAGGAAAAAAATTCACTGTGATCTTTTTATGCATAGACATCTCATCTCAGGCAAAGGTAACAACCTCATATTCCAAAAACATATCCATGAGTCTTTTTACTTAATGTGCGGAATTATCAGTGAGTACCCAAAACTTCCACGTACACAGGAATTCATCACTATAAAAGAAGGCAACACTAAATTCAAAACTATAACAACAAATATTTAATCTCAGCCGTGGCAGCTTAGACCGGATCATAAATAGTCAACCTTAACAAAATCTACACTTCTCACTGGGCATGCATGAAATGAAAACAAAACAAGGACTTACTGATTACACAGACTCCTCCATGTGCAGGGGGCTGAATACTTATACTCTTGTTTTTCTACTAAGTTTTAATTTTTCTATTGCCTATAGAGAGTCAGGGGCAAATGCATGTTTTTCACGTCAGTGGTCTCCAGCTCAATTCATGGCATCTCTGAGGAGGAAAAATCCTTACCCCAAATCCTGGTGAGCTGCTGCCAGTCACTGAGCTGAATGGAGAGCAGGGTCAGTGTGGCAGAAAGACAGCCACTTTCTGGGTTCTGCTGTCTGCCTGGCTTCTGAGACTTAAAAATGCCTTTCTAGTTAATTTTCAAGCAACTCTCAAAGCTAAACCCTTGAATGCCATCTTCTCCTCCTACTTCAAACGACAACTGAGACTGCCAGGATGCTTCACCCTATGCAAAGCTTCTTTAAGAAACCACAACTCACATGAAGGGATGCGTGAAGGAGGTGATAGCCCAAAGCAGAAAGACAGCCCCCTGCCAGATAGGGAGTGTGACAGAGCTCTTTTGCAGCCGAAGGGAGCAGCTTGCACACCCTTCAGACAGAGATCCACTTCTTGACCACCTCATCTACTTTCATCCCCTGCCAGAACTAGCAATACCATGTTGGCAGAACCGGAACCAGTTCTGCACCAGCAGACTAAAAAGATGGACAGTCGGCTGAACTGACAAGATAGATAATCCACATAAAACAACAAAACACGAGGAAAAGAGAAACTTGTTTTCTTCCAAGTGGGAGAAACAGCTTCGCTTTGAAGAGGAAAGAAGAAAAATATACTTGAATCTTCTCCCTTCCACACAGAACTGTTAATAAGAATGTGAAAACAGAGGTCTTTTCTTGCCTCTACAGTGTGGGTGGAAAACACCTTTCTGGTCTGGACTGTCCATCAGACTGATTGGATGGACCAGAAAACATCATGGTTGGGACCCATCCCAAGGCCTGACCAGCTTTACTAGCATCATGCACTCCACCCGCTTTGCCTTGCTCCATGCAGCATCTCCTCCAGGAGCACATGCATTTGAGTATCTCCTTGCACATGGCCCCAGTCAAGGTCACTACAGAGCCTGTGGCCAAGTCCCCTTTGCACTCTGTCCTGACTGGGAGGATGAACTGCAAACTCTCTCTTCAGGGTTCAGGTGTATTGGCAGGGTCTGGGCAGGGAATCTTCTGTGGGTTGGAGGCTCCCTATTCCTCCTCTACAAATTCTAAGAGCTTGGCAAGTTTAGCAACATCAGGCTTTAAGCCAAGCCATCAAATTCCAGAAGCAAATACAACCATGGAGGCATCCAGTTAAACTGGGGGTTTTCCAGCTTCCTGCCTGAGAACTCTCATGAAGTCATTAGGGTTTCCCTAGTGGGAAAGTTCCAAAATGGCAATTAAATATCCCCTGGAAGGCAGCTCTCCACTGCTGCCAATCTTTCACTGTAATCTGTAAGTAAGGCTCTATTGCTTTGAAGCATGTGGGCGTGTGCGCACACACACACACTCACTCACTCACAAGCAGGAAATAGCACTGTCACAAAGGAAGGAGAAAAAACACCACAGAGGGAGAAAGCAGAACATGTTAGCATTTTACAATGAAGAGCATTACCACAGGGCACAAAACAAAAAGGAAATGCCATCTTCTTCTCCTGGGTCTGCAAATATTGTACTATTAACATACTCTCTAATTCCCATGCCCTGGCTGTGAGTGCTGTTACTAATACAGGCAATACAGAGCCACTGGTGCACAAAAAGGAAAGACGATCGGGCTTTGCTAGAGCAGGAATAATCTTCAGGAGAAAACTTTCAAGGAAAGGGGCTGGTTTTGCTCATTGGCTGTGGAATGCCAACTGAGTGTTGGGGAGTTGGAGGCAGAACTGAAAACTGGGCTGCAGGAGAGAATGGGGTGGAATCCTGGGCAGCAGCTTTATAAGCTGCAACTTTTTGCTGCAGGTTGTATTTGCCTTAGAAATGAAATACCCTTCTAATCATCATTTGTTAGGCAGGGATAGACCAAACTCTGATTCTACAAAGGTTTTGCAACTGTTACAATTATCCACAGTGGTAACACTAGAACGAATACTACGGTTTTTGAGGAGGAAGACAAGGAGCTTATTCTACCCATTAATTTTATGACCAGATTTGCCCCTTGACCCACCGTCCATGGTGGTTTATTAAAGCCCACCTGCAGTTCTCAGGCTGCCCACTCATGCCCCAACGACAGCTTCTTGTGATGTCCAAACCTGGTTGGCATGGCTTGTTGGGGGGAGAAGCCACTCTCTAACCACTCATGACCTGTTGTAGGGTTAATGGAGGGTCAAACCATGGCAACCTCCCAAATGGGGGTGAAATACTCAAAATGGCCATTAACACAGATAGAAACAGGGCAGGTCAGAAGGGGCCTCCTGGGCCATCTAGTCTGATCTCCTGGCTCTGCTTGTGAAATACCTACCTATTAATATGCACCACAACCTGCTGTGCCTTAAATATGGCATGCTGGGGTCCAGTGATCATGCAAACCAGCCTTGTTTCTCAAACTGTTAGAGGGTTATCTTCCATTGTACCTACAGGCATAGGAATATTTCTTTATGCATTGTGTAATATCCTATCTTTTTTTCTTTAAGAAACCCAGAGTGGCTTACTTAATCCTCCTCTCCATTTTATGCTCAGAACATCCTTACCATCCTAGGAGGTAGGCTAGCTGAAAGTCAGTGATTGGTCCAACATCCCCCAGTGGGATGCAGGAGACAGTGGCCCTGTATCTGCTTCCGAGTACCACCAAATCACTCACTGAGGTCCTTCCCCCTATCATAACTCAAAGGGCTATCAAGTTGTCTCTTCTCCAGACTTAAAGTTTCTCCAAGCCACGAGTTGACAAAAGGCCCACTCGCCATGGGCCAAGCACTCCATCCTTCACCCAAGACTGCCTTTCCGTGACAAATCTCCAGCCTCTTTCAGACCAGAGGACCAAGCCATGTGCACAACTGCCTCCTGGATGCAAGCTGGTGGTGTAGGCAAGGACAGGGACACTCCAGGTGTGGGCGTGCCCGCCTGCATGCGA